CCCACGCGTTTAACACTTTACCTACCGTAGGCTACAGTATTCGCGATATGCTTTGCAATTCTATTCTCGAAATTGCCTCGAGGTGGAAATTCGAAAATTAATCGAACAGGTCAGAGGTAGAAATTTTCAAAACGAATTTAACAGAATCGAGGCAGAAGTTTAATTACTCATCGTAGATCATGTATACACAGTGTACTAAAAAACAGACGCGAAAACATTATACGCGTTAAGTCTGACATTTTCCGCAGTCAATTATCGCAAATGTTTTCTGCAGATTGTTAAAAAATTCTCCGGTAGAAAAACTGGTCCGATTAGTATCGTGTTAATTAACCCGTTAGGCGGTTCCGCGTGACCGTAATCCGCCGCAAATTCATCTAATATTCGCGGTGTCTCGCGTTCCCCGAGCGATAATTAAATTCGTTGCTCATTAGTCGGTGACTCGATTAACCCGGGTTAAGCGACACGGGATTAATTGTCTCGAGTGATTGTTCTGCCCCCGATCGGCTGGGACGATTAATCGTCGCAATTTCATACGATCGAAAGTTTTTCCCAGGGAAAAGAGGAAGAAAAAACCGAAACAAAACCAAAACCTCTATCTCTCTACGACAATTTAAATACCTCGTTTCTCAGCGGTAGTAATCGTGTACTTGTCGGCAAGTATCTCATTGCTGCGGTCTAATTGCAACGATTAATCGCTACAATCGGCCTCAAGTCCAAGGGTAGGAGGGTTGTACAACACCACCTATTCGCGTGGAAAAACGAAGAACAGAGCCAAAAGCGGCGTGGAAAATAATCTTCTCTTAGTTTCGTCTTTTCTTTTTTCTTTCGTATATGTATATCGTGCAGGCGCCAAAGAAATGCGGCGAACAGACAAATCTAAGGAAAACGACATTATTCGCGAGAAACACACCGGTAACACAAAAATTCTCTGCACTCTATGAAACTTGCGCAAAAACTGAAATGCATTTCTCTACTGCGCTGGATGATCGGAGAGCGAGCGAGAGAGAGTAAGGAAGAAGAGAAATGAACGCGCGACTAAAAGGGTGGGAAAAAAGCTCTCTTTCTAATTATTCGCGGAAGGAAAAGTAATTATACTTCTACGAAAGCACACTTTTTCCCCCGTTCTGTTCATTAGGAAAGCATACTTTTCTCCCTTAGTTTTCCGTTACGACGTTAAGCACGATCATTTGGTTCGTTGGAAAAAGTTACCTCGTGTCTTCGAAGAAAAGAAACGGATCGTTGCCGAAGTGTATTAATTTACGTCGAATAAATTCGCGATAGTTGGCTGTTAGAAAAATCACGAAGTCTCGTCTAGTCTTACTTTCTTTACTCTTTTCTTCGCGTTAAATCTGCGGGAACGGAGATAGAGAGAGATTCTTCGGCGAAGCCCCGAGAAGGTCTCGTTATTTTTAACGCGAATCGCGGGGCTGATAGTTTGAAGAGTTCTGGAACAAGTTGTTACAAGTTGTACAGAGTTCGATGCTGCGTGTATATATCTATACAGCGATGAACACAGTGGATGGCGTACGGAACGTTGTGCAAACTTTTCGTGCAAGTAAATGCGGAGCAGCGGCGGTCGTTCTCTATACCTATGCATGTACAATCTATGGCTGTATCTACGTTGGAGATAAAGGCTGTCGCCTATAAATTTCCAAGCGGGCGATGATAACGCGGAGCTCACTGGCACTTTGCAAGCGTCCATTCTCTATGGTTCTATGGTAATCTCTAGAGAATCATGGAAAACCAAAAACTAAACAGTCAACCCATCGACGAGCCTGAGCGTTATTATAGCGCTTGTGTAGCTCTGTTTAAGGACTTAACACGTTCTCTACCACCAGTGACAGTCTGTTGTGTATTTGCAACGTACAGAGTCACTCACGTGAGAGTGACAGCGATTTTTTTCTTTAGAGATCACATTTAAGCACTGGTCGATTATACTTTATGGATCGTCGGGTATAAGCTTGTGTGGTTTGTTTAGATGCTACGTGGGAGTGCACGTTTCTTCAGAATAATTGTAGCTTTTATTCGAACAAGTACTGCATAATCTGCATGCTTGAAGATTGTAACCTCATGTTATATACCGGGTGTCCTACTTTCTTCCCGATCAAACTTTGCTGGCGTGTTCTGTGGGTATAGGTAAGAAGAAAATGTTGGACGAACGTGGGTCGTTTGAGGCTTCGTTAAAAAGTTATGACTGCATTCTGTGTAATTCTAGCGATGACATTGGTAGCGAACGTGTTTGAAGATTTTGTCACGGTTGATGTTTAATATTCTCTCACAGTTATCGGTGTTCTACTGAAACATAGTCGCCGATGGGTTAACGCGTGAAACTGGGCGTTGTAGCCTAATTTCACCAACGGAGGTCTAACAACTGTCTCACGAATCAGAATTTATACGTTACTATGTAAAATCAGTCACAAATTAATCGTATAATTGGTACAATGCACAGTTCTTACTCTAACTATGAAGAAACATAAATTCTCCGTCAGTGAATAGTTAAGACATAGTTATCGGAGCGAACGTCCTTCGAAACGCGCTCATCCTCCGACGAAGGAGGCAAGGGATGAAGAAAGGAACGAAACAAAAGATGCACCTTCGTTCGTTTTAACACGGCGAGATACGCTTCTCGATGAAATACCTTCCTTGTTCTTTATCTCTTTCTTTTCTCTCTTTTTTTTTTTCTCACAATTGTCACCAGCTGGTGACAGGGTACCTTTGTGCGTCTCCTCGAGAAGCATCTCGATCGGTTACACCGGCTAACATGAACCAGCAGACACACAAAACAGAGTCCTATGTACAAGGTTTAACAAAAAAAAAAAGAAAAAAGGAAGACAGAAAAGAGAGAGAGAGAGAAAGAGAGGAGGAATATGCCTAAGGACAGTCGATGCAACCTAAACACAGCCTGCACAATGGATGCATTCACACACAACGATGTGAAAGACTGCCGAGCGAGAAAGTTCACGCGCTGGAGAGGATAGAGGAGATATACGAAGGGAGGGAGGTGAGATCTGTTCGGGGAGGAGATTGAAACGTTTAGACCTGGCTCGCATTCGCGTTTTTCAATCGTGTGCAATTTTCATCCTCCTCCTCGACGACGAGAAGGTCACTTCGAGAGCTCCGTGAACTTTTTGTATTAAACAAGGCCCTGCCTTCGAGCGATTACGCGCTATGTGGAACGAAACTGTCTCTAAGCACGAACGCGTCGCCTCGCTGCTATAGCCTCTCTTCTTTCTCGTCGCGCACCCCCTGCTATTTGCGAGAAACACCGGGAATTTTCTTATTTAAACTGGGAAATCTCGCGACGTGGGTGACTTTTATTGCGCGATTCGAGGCTCCGCGAATTCATTTTGTGACACGTTCGTCGAATGTGCTTTTACGATACCTTCTGTGTATACCAGGTGAGACACGTAAGGCGTGATAATTTAGCGTTATCAGAAATTGGTGATACCGCGTGATTGTAGTCGTTATACTCGTCTGAGTGTGAATTACGTTTTGGTATTTCGAGAGATATGCAATTTTGGTAAAAAAAAAAAAAAAATGGGGGACTTGGAGGGACCTTGACATCTTTGCCCGCGAAAAATTGAAATACACCGAAAAGTGTGTAGAATACTTTAATTCTAAATGTCATCGATGTTTTACGCTTTACATAACTCACCCTCTATATTTATAATTAATATTTCTAATTTACTCTGAAGATCACAATGATTTAACTTTGCAACCCTCGTTAAAAAGACCATAATTTTCTTGAAAAATCTGTATCTCCGAAATCAGAATTCACAGTAATCTCATATCCCCGAAATCAAAACTCACACTAATCTCATATCTTCGAAATCAAAACTCACACTAATCTTATATCTCCAAAATCGAAATTCACAGTAATCTCATATATCCAAAATCAAAATTCACACTAATCTCATATCTTAGAAATCAAAACTCACACTAATCTCATATCTCCAAAATCAAAACTCACACTAATCTCATATCTTAGAAATCAAAGCTCCCACTAATCTCATATCTTCGAAATCAAAACTCACGCTAATCTCATATCTCCAAAATCAAAATTCACAGTAATCTCATATATCCAAAATCAAAATTCACACTAATCTCATATCTCCGAAATCAAAATTTACACTAATCTCATATCTCCGAAATCAAAACTCACAGTAATCTCATATCTTAGAAATCAAAGCTCTCACTAATCTCATATCTCCGAAATCAAAACTCACACTAATCTCATATCTCCGAAATCAAAACTCCCACTAATCTCATATCTCCGAAATCAGAATTCACAGCAACCTCATATCTTCGAATAAAAAAAAAAACTTTACATAAGTGCATACTTCTTCACGATCGCGAGACTATAGCCAGACTACGTCCCTCGATCTAAAAACCTCAGCCTTCGCAATAACTCGAAGGACTAACTTCTCTACAATGTACAATCGTAATAAGTGACCAGAACCTGCGAGCCAGGTCCAACGTGGATAGTAGCAGCGATTAAACCGGAAGCAAGCATGCTCTATTAACCCTTCGACCGTGAAACTCGCGAGTGAGAAACGTCGTCGAGGATCGACGGGTAGAAGGGCAGTCAGGCGCCGTCGCCATGATTAAACAAGAACAGAACACTCTGCATGCGTGTGTGCGTGTGTGTGTGTGTCTGACGACGGTTTCCGAAAGCGAAAGTTACGAGAAGGGTTAATTGCTTAGGAAAGAGAGGGTCGACTCCTCGCGCCGGGAGAAGGGAACAGAAAGGGAAGGCGAAAGAAGAAGAAAAAAAAAAGAAAAGAGGGTGGCGGTGAGAGGTGAAAAGGGAGCAAGGCCAGTACTGGTGGGTGGTATATACGTTCTCCAATCCCCGTAGGGCTTTTTAAAGGAAAAGTGTATGTATAACAGGGTGGGGGCTAAAAAAGAAACCAAAAAAATCGAGCGAAATAAACCGTTAAATAATTCTAGATATTGTTTTTTCTTTTGCGTAGTAGCTCCGATCGTTTATTCGTCCTTACCTTCGTTGTTCTCATCCTCGGTTGACTTGGCCGATTGTAGCTTCGCGGTCGGTTGCTTCGCTGCAATCAAAATTCGCAGCTCTGGCACCGTATTTCTTTTTATTTCCCCCCTTTTTTTTTTTTATACTCATTCCTCTCTCCATAACAGTTTCTTTAATCTCGCTGCGTTCTTTCTCGATATTTCTGTTTCTCTTTTTTTCCCGTCGTAGTTTCTGCGTCCTCTTGTACCTTTTTCTCTATCAATTCGTCTTTTTGGCTAGGCTAGACTAGTGACCCGTATTCGATACCGATGCCCCCTTTTCCTCCTTTTCCTTTAATTTCTTTCCTCTCTGTGTGTGTGTTAGTTCGTTTTTTTTTTCTCCTCCTTTTTGGTTCAGATGAGAGAAGAAAAAAACTGGCTCGAATAGACAGGGGGGGAGGGAGAGATTCCACGTTCGCCCAGGCTAACTCGTTGCCAAATCGAACGTGAATTGTTCGAGGAAATCTATCCGGGTACCTATCGCTATCGATACCCGATAACGAAGGCGAACGCTAGGCTAATTATTTTCACGGTAAGCTCGCGAGCCGTGATAGGGTTGATATCTGCACGCTTTCAGTTTCTCTGCGTGACCGATTCGTTAAAAATACGTGTCTCGAGACGTGTTGGTCTTTCTTTTGCTTTTTTCTCTGGAGCAGGTAGATACGCGAGAGTTGGTTCGAAGGGCGGAGAGGGGAGAATGTACGGGTGTGAAAAGATCGGGATGGATTTTCTCTTTTTTTCTTTTTTCGTTCTCTGGGAAATTTCAATATACCAGAAGGTTACCTACCGTGGGTGGTTAGAGCTACTGTTTTCGGATATCAACGCTGGAATTACCGACCGGGTCGAAAATCACCCATCGGCAATTTTTCAAATGTGAATTTTCAGTTAACTAAAAAGTGATTGAAAAATTGGATTCGCGAATGAAGCGAATGGCTCATGTTTGACCGGGTCGGTGGTTCCAGCGTTAGGCGGTTTCGTTACACGTTCACACAGTTTCAACGAAAAAGAGAAGGTAAGAAAAGAAAAAGGAAAAATGTTAAACGAACTATTGGAAATAGTGAAATTTCACAACATCGACACGAATAAACAATTTGTAGTTGTGTTATACTTGGAGCTGTTATAATACAGACTTGGTGAAACGAAAACAGTATATATGTTTAATAAACATACTCACGGTACGATTACACGAGTTCACACGAAAGGTGATAGACAGACAATGGCCGTGATTTTTGGTGATTTGGGTGTAGAAAGGGAAGGGTTCAGGGTTGATGAACAGGTGATAAACGTGAACGACAGAGCGTGTGCGATAATCAACGGAGACCAAGATGTAATCATAATACGAGTGAGAGAGTTTCTCGGGTAGCGCGATGAAAGAAAAAAAGAAATGGAAATGAAAATTCGCTAAAAAAAAAAAAAGAAACAGACACTTTTACAGATATACTAGTAACAAACGGGGGGGATAACGTGTGGTAAAGTGAGAAATAATACGATGAGAGAAAATGAAATATGTATAGATCGAGAGATCGATCCAAAGATATACGAATCATCTGGGCGATACGAGCGTGAATTTTCTACTCTTTTTCCCTCTTTTTTTTTTTCGTTATTTCCTCTACAAGTACAATTAACGGATGAAATTCTGTTTCGTTTAAACGTTTCAAGCTCCTCCTCCTCCCGAGCGTGTAATCAGCGATCCGCGGAGTTGTTTAAAACTCGAAAACACTGCAAGTCACGGGGTGTGATTCGTACACGCTGTTAATTTTTCCGTTGAAAAGAAAAAAACCAAAAAAGAGAACTCGCTGGCTACAGAAACGCGACACACACGAAAGAGAGAAAGAGAGAAACGCGTCGGAGTTGCGCGTGCGAATATTTTCGCGCAGGGGGAGAGATTTCCAGCAGCGTTAATCGCGCGCGGCTCCTCTAACAACGTTATTCAGGCTCGGCGACTCGGTGAAACGTAATTGCAATGGAAATATAGCATAGCTATATCTATATATACACACACACACATGTATGTATATTTCTTCCCTTTTTTCCTTCTTTCTCTCTTTTTCTTTCTTTCCTTTTCACGCTCGCGGCTGCTGTGATATGATTCTAACGAATTCATGGAGACAATTAACCTTTAAAATAGCACACGGTATGGATGCCTGAGGAAATTTGTCTGGCTTACTCTACTGTACAATGCTAGTCTGGTTGGGTAACGCACCTCGTTCTTTCATTTTTTCCTTTTTTTCTATTCTTTCTTTCGTTCTCGTGGAGAGAAAATTTCTCCCTTTCCACCCACCCATCCTCCGTGTCTTTTTTTCTCGTTGCATTTTCTCAAACACCATACCCAGAGTCAACACTATGCGACGATATATGTAGGCTAAGAGGAGAAATGTCGAAGAAGTATACAATGGGGGGTGAACTTACTCGATGTTGGCGGTGGTTGCGGCGCCCGACGGACGACCGTATGCTCTTGGTGTGATCCAGTGTACTCGTGCCATGTGTACGTGCTCCTATACTCTGAATGGAGCTGCTGTAATGCACAATCAACGCCACCGAGTTAGTACAAAACGGCCTACAGATACTCTGTAGATACCGGTGTGTGTGTGTGTGTGTGTGTATGTGTATATACAGGGTGTCCCAGGTGAAGGAGGCCACTTAACACCTTCGCTACCGCCAATTCCGACGACAGAACGGTATTGTCTACGGGTAATGGGGAAAAATGCACAGTTCGAGTATTTGGTATAATATTAGGTGTGTGTATAAGTGCAGGGACCTATCGTATTGTGTACAAGCGAGGAAAATGTAGATACTAAGAGCGTATGTGAAAATAATTGGAAGGATGGTGGACGATGCTTGAGTAGGACCTTGGTGGCGAACGTGTTAACCCTTGACTGCTGGTAACTCGAAAGTAAAGCTCTGTACGACTGAGTCGTACTACGTATTTCGTTAGATAAATTGCATTTGTTGAATATTTCGTATTTTATATTTGCGAAATAAGTAATACGTCGATATGAAAAATGGAATATGGATAGGAATAGCGCTGATAGTGTCCAGCGTTCGATTATCAGTGAGAGTCTGTAGGCGCCGATAGCAGTGAAAGGGTTAAATATCTCCTTCGTTTTTGATTTCGTGAAAAATGTTTGTAGCACGTGGAAGAAAAAGATTTTGTTTTTTACAATTTCATCGTGCTTTTAGTGTTCGAGGCCATCTGAAGATTGTGATTTAGGTATATTCAAATGTATCTTCCCGTCTGCTGCAAGGTGCAATAGAAGAAAATACGTGTTTCTTGTGTAAAAAGCAAGGATGATCTTGAAAAAATTTGAAAAACTCTTTGGAAATCATTTAACCCTTTCGCTGCGGCAGATTATCGTCGAAATCTTTCGCTCTGGCGTTTAAGAATTTTTGAAACCTTATCGTTTTCAAATTTCTATTATGAAATTAAAGCGAGAGTACTCGAAGGTTTGAATTTTAAGGAAAAATCACCAACAGCACGCTACGAGAAAACTTTCAAGAATTCACCGACGTGACCCACTGAAGGGTCATTTCACCATAGGTCAAATTTCTCTTTAACACTCTTGAGGACTGTGTGACCCATCAATGGGTCACTGAGAGATTTTTAGTCGTCGACGTGACTCAGTGATGGGTCATTTGACCACAGGTGACAAAGATCGAATAGAGGATGTTTTTCTAATTGATACCGTTGAGTATTGTGTGACCCATCGGTGGGTCACTGAGAGATTTTCTTATTCACCGACGTGACCCACTGAAGGGTCATTTCACCATAGGTCAAATTTCTCTTTAACACTCTTGAGGACTGTGTGACCCATCAATGGGTCACTGAGAGATTTTTAGTCGTCGACGTGACTCAGTGATGGGTCATTTGACCACAGGTGACAAAGATCGAATAGAGGATGTTTTTCTAATTGATACCGTTGAGTATTGTGTGACCCATCGGTGGGTCACTGAGAGATTTTCTTATTCACCGACGTGACCCACTGAAGGGTCATTTCACCATAGGTCAAATTTCTCTTTAACACTCTTGAGGACTGTGTGACCCATCAATGGGTCACTGAGAGATTTTTAGTCGTCGACGTGACTCAGTGATGGGTCATTTGACCACAGGTGACAAAGATCGAATAGAGGATGTTTTTCTAATTGATACCGTTGAGTATTGTGTGACCCATCGGTGGGTCACTGAGAGATTTTCTTATTCACCGACGTGACCCACTGAAGGGTCATTTCACCATAGGTCAAATTTCTCTTTAACACTCTTGAGGACTGTGTGACCCATCAATGGGTCACTGAGAGATTTTTAGTCGTCGACGTGACTCAGTGATGGGTCATTTGACCACAGGTGACAAAGATCGAATAGAGGATGTTTTTCTAATTGATACCGTTGAGTATTGTGTGACCCATCGGTGGGTCACTGAGAGATTTTCTTATTCACCGACGTGACCCACTGAAGGGTCATTTCACCATAGGTCAAATTTCTCTTTAACACTCTTGAGGACTGTGTGACCCATCAATGGGTCACTGAGAGATTTTTAGTCGTCGACGTGACTCAGTGATGGGTCATTTGACCACAGGTGACAAAGATCGAATAGAGGATGTTTTTCTAATTGATACCGTTGAGTATTGTGTGACCCATCGGTGGGTCACTGAGAGATTTTCTTATTCACCGACGTGACCCACTGAAGGGTCATTTCACCATAGGTCAAATTTCTCTTTAACACTGTTGAGGACTGTGTGACCCATCAATGGGTCACTGAGAGATTTTT